AACATCTAGAAACACTCCAGACGCGTACAGTTTCTGCTCGAGACACGAAGTAATGAAATCAGTCACTCTGTAAGTTGATGAGTGGTGTTATGATGGGTTCGAAAGCCAAATTGATGGTCTGGTAAGATGTTCGAAATAGCAATAGAGATAATTCTTTTGTAAATTAATTTTTCGAATAATTTAGAAGGAACGGGTAACAAACTAATAGGACGATAAGATCATGGGGAGCTTAAATTTTTTTATGGGATCATTTTAATGTAAGAAAGTTTCCAATGTATGGGGAAGTGTGTAGTCCTCAAAAATGCGTTAAATAAAGAAGTAAAAAAGACGACTGCTTTTTTGGAAGTTCTTACAGAACTTCAGCTGTTATCAAATCATGACCAGGTGATTTTTTTGTAGGAAGCTGTCGTATTTCTTGTGATACTTGTTTTGGAGTTATTGGTACATAATTACATCTAATAAACATTAATAAACATAATTACAGGTACATAATTAAAATCTAAAAGCGTTTACGCTTGTTAAATAACAAAGAACTTTCTTCAGTACTATTTTAACTATGTACATACATATGTAACTTAATTCTAATAATAAATAAATATTAAACCAAATTTAACAAAAAATTCCACCCAATGGATTTTTGTTTTCTTTGTCTCGATAAAAGAAAATTGTGCCCTTAATTTATCTCATTGTTTTGACCAATAATACTTGTTTATGCTATGTTTTAAATTTGGAATATCAATTGGAAGTAAACATTCTTAATTCTCAATCCAAAACAAGGGTAAGGGATTTATTTTTCAATGTTTAAATTTTATGGATTTTTAAAATTTTATCCAGTCTCATTTGAATTCTGAAGAAATAAACTTTGTTTTCTTCTTTATTTTCTTAATTTCAATTTTTAAACACAATATGCCACTTAATGCTGAGGATGTGGTGAGGCACTTATGCCGTCGGAGTTCCCTACGAAACACTGCTAGACGTTTACGAGAAGCTGGGCCCTACCATAGAAGGCCGGTTCTGGACGCCCTCGGGTAACAGAACCACAGGATGACTGTTTTTTTGACTTTAAGAATTTGGCGAAAACGGCGCCTTACTCTTGATCAAGCGATTCATCAGCTCAAGGAAGTTAGAGGTGTCCAAATTTCTGAACGCACTGCTCGAAGAAGAGTAAATCAGTATGGACTGATGGCTTTTCGCCCCGTAAGAAGACCAGAATTGACATACCGAGTTGCACGGCTCGCATTTGCTCTAAAACAAAGCCATTGGACTTTGGACGAATGGTCTGCTGTACTTTTTACAGATGAATGTAGATTTCCTCTACGATCTCCTACATGGGCACGAAAGAGTGTGGAGAAGAAATGAAAGGTACGAAGCCTGTAATTTTTCCCAGAGCCGACCTTTTCGACGCACTCAGTCATTGTGTGGGCGGGATTCACAATGGAGAGTTACAAGGAGTTAGCGGTTGTTCGTGTAGGGTTTAGAAGGCCACTCGCTATCTGGATGAAATTTAGGAACATCACGTGTTGGCTATCCTCGATGAAATTAGCGACAATCTTATTCTAACGCACGATAATGCCCGTCCATATATCGCTCGCATAGTACAAACGTACCTTCAACAGCATAACATCAGGGTCTTAGCCTGGCCAGATCCCGGACTTGAACCCCATCGAACATTTATGAGATAACCTCAAACGACGAATAAGAGCATGTCCATCACTTCCTGATACACTCCTCGATCTTGAAAGGTCTCTTCGTGAAGGATGGGCTAACCTCCAGCAAAGAGACATTTCCAGACTGGTAGAAAGTATGCCGAGGCGTCTTCGAGATGGAATTAAGGCAATAGGGGAAATACGCAATATTCAAATTAAAATTTGAAAACAAAATCAAAACAAATGTTATCTGTCCGTCTTTTTTGTGCATTTTCCTTACTAATTTACATTTTATTTTACTTTTTTAAACTAAGACTCAATTATTTAACGTTAAAAAATGTGAAACTTTGATTAATACATTAAAAAGTATAGAAATCACGTTATATTACAAGTGGGTAGAAATTTTTGCCTGTCTCATATATATATATATATATATATATATATATATATATATATATATATATATA